TTATTATTCCTATTATATTAATAAGCTTTTTATAGAATAATTAACTTATAACTCTTGCCTTCTCTATAATAAGTAATTCTTCGGAATTATTAGTCTTTAAACTAATAATATCCTATTTATTAGAACTAATAATTTTATAAAAGCAAAGTAATTAAAGCTTTATAAAGCTAAGTTCTTAGCTAAGAAATATAAATGCCTTATTTCTAACTATAATCTCAAGTTTAATAAAGGTATTATCTATATAAATATTACTAGAATTACTCTTATATAGAAATACTAGTATAAAAACCTCTAAACTATTTCTATAAAAAATACTACTACTATAAATAATAGAGGTACTATTTATTAAGATCTCTTTATTAAGAACTAATATATTACCTAATATATTAAAAAAGTATATATTATATTAGTCTATTAACTAGAAGCTTTATATAACTTATTAATTACTACTTAAGCTATTAAATTCTTAGAAACTAATATAAAGGCACTTAATAAATATATTTAGTAGAAAATTAAAAATATTACTAGAGAACTGAGATTTATAAAGCTAGTAAAAGAGTTTTTATATTTAATTACTTTTATAAATACTTCATTTATAAATAATAGAAATCTCTTTTCCTAAATCGGATATATTCTAGTTCTAATAAATGAAACTAGATATACTAATATTATTTACTAGTTCTCTACTAAATATAAAAGAGTTACTAGAAGTATTCTAGCTTCGGAATTCTATAATATAACTTATAGCTTTAATATAGGTATTTTAGTTAAAACTATAATTAATAGAATACTAGAAATAGAATTATTACTAATAGTTTATATGAATTCGAAGTTATTATATAAATATCTTATTAAATTAGGAATTACTCGAGAAAAGTATCTAATAATTAATATAATATATCTTTACTAAATATATAAATAACGAGAGATTATAGAAATTAAATAAATTAAGGAAGAATTAAATTCTACTAATTCTATAATAAAATTAAAACTAATAAATACTTTTAAGTATCTAATTAATATAAATACCATATAATTAGATATAGAGAAATAGATTAAATATAAATAGAATAGAAAATAAATATATAAAATAGAAGAATATTATAAGAAGAGAAGTTATATATAAAAGGCTATAGCCTTTAATATATAACTAAAATCTTAGAAGTAATATAAATATATAAAGTATTTAAGAAATCTGGTACTAGGCCAGATTAGGAAATTTATATATAATTAAAAAGAAATACTATTTTTCGCGTTTTTTTAGAGAGTTTCTAGTATTAGTATAGCTATTTCTTTAGAAGTTATATATAGTTACGAGATATAGGATATAAAATATAGGTAATAAGATATAAGATATAAAATATAATTATATAACTTCATATCTTATAAATAACTCGATTAGTAAACTAGATTTCTTTAGGCTTAGTAAATTTAGGAATTATATATTAATACTATAATATTATAATTCCTATTTCTAAATAATAACTTTACTAACTTATATAAATAGTATTTTATAACTATATAATAGTATTATATATTACTAGTAAACTAATACTAAGAATATAATTATTATATATAAATAAAATTTTTTTTTTAGTAAAGTTAAGAAAATTACTTTTAATATTAATAAAATATTTATATTTAAAACTAGTTTTCTTTTTATATAATTAATTTCTATATTTGAATTAACTAATATTTTAATTCTATATTTGCTTTTTATTATTTTAATAATAATTTCAATTATTATTCTTGTTTTAAGAACTTTATTTTTTATAATATAAATAAGTATAATTATTATAAAATATATTTATTTCCCGGTTTCTTTAGTTTTAGATACTTATATATTTTATAGCTAAACTTATTATAGTTATAATAAGTTAGTTTTTTCTGATTTAAATAAATAATAATATAGTAATTCTCTTTCTAGTAAATAAAGTAAATTATATCCGGTTTTATAAATTCTAATATAGCTATTATATTAGACTTTATTATTATATTTTTATTATTCCGGTTTTATAAATCTTATAATAGAAATGTATTTCTTTTCTATTTTCTTTTATTATTTCTTTTCTTTTTTCTTTTTTCTTTTTTATTATTTTATTACCTTATTATTATATTCTTATTAAATAAATAAATTTAAATTATTTTCGATTTTTATAATTATAGAAATAAGCTTTTTTCTTTCTTATAAAATATTTCTTTAATAATTAATCTTATTTTAAATCTTTTATTTTAAATTATTAAATAGATTATCTTGCTTTTATAATAAATTTATAAATTTTAAGTTATTTAATAAGCTATTTAAATAAAATATAAAGCTTTAAATATTCTAATTTAATTACTATTTTATATTCTTAAATTTAATAAGAATATTATTATTATAGTTTTTCGAATTTAAAATAAAATTCTTTATAAACTTAATAAAGGTTTTCTAATCTATAATATTAATACTTATTAATTATTTCCTATATTTCTAGATATTTTTAACTATATTTTTAAAATAAAAAATATAATATATAATTTTTATTATATTTATAGTTCAGATAATTTTAATAATTTTATATTATTTTGGCTTTATTTAATAAAAGAAGTTCTGGGTTTTTTTAATATTTTTCTTTTTATAAATAAATAATTTTCGGGATTTAAAAGCCCTTTAAACTAAAAATATTATTAGAAATATAATGGGCTTTATATTAGGTATTTAAATATTTTAAAATAATAGATTTAAGCTTTTAGCTTTTCTAGATTTTTTATTTATTATATTTCTGCTTTTAATTTAATAATATAATAATAAGCTGCTATTAGCTTCTTTATTATTATTATTTTACTAGCTAGTTTTAAAAGTATTTGAGTTCTATTTTCTTTTTCTAATTAGGTAATATAAAAAGTATTTAATTAGGTATTTTCTTAAATATTTAACTAGATTACCTTAATAATAATAGAAATACTTCTTCTAGTTAATATTCTAGCTATTAGTAATTTTATTTATTAATAACTTAATTATTTTATAATAAACTATTTCTCGAAAATTAGAATAATTAGAATATAAAATATATAATAATAAAGTAATATATAAGTAATTAAGGCAAATAAGCTATAAAGTAATACTTATAAATATAACTAATTTCAAGAATTAATTCTAATAAAAAACTAATTAATACTTCTTTCTAAAGCTAGAAATATTTCTTTATATATTTCCTAATATTTAGCTAAGTATATAAAGCTCTTTATTTAATTAGGAAATATAATCTTATATAATTTATATAATTCTGATTATAAGCTTTATCTAAAATAAGAAATTAGATCTATAATATTTATTATTTATTTATATATTTATTATATTTAGTTAAAATATAAAAACTATTTTAAACTAGAATAATAAAATATTTTTATTTTAAAAGTATTTAGTAAAAATAATAATAATACTTTTATATATAATTATTAAAGAAAAGTTCTATTATTATAATAAAAATATTAATATAATTATTTATTATTATTTCAAAAAAAAAGCTATTTATATAATAGATAAATTTAATACTATTAAAGGAAATTAACTTCTAGCTAATAGTTATTAAGACCGAGAAATAAGTATTAAATAATATTATATTATTAGTATTTACTAAAAAAAAAGAACTATTTTTTTATTTATTTAAGGAAATAAAACTTATTATTTAAAAAGTATATTTATAAGTTTACTAGTTCGAAAGATTTAATAAAATACTTTAAGTAAAAGTATCTGGCCTATATTAAAAAAAGAAATTAGTTTAAATATAAAGTTTATTAAATAAAGCTATAATATAAGTAATATTTCTAGAATTATATAGAAACTATTTATAAAACTATTTCTTAGTATTTTAATAATATACTAAAAATATATAATTATAAAGCTTATAAATACTCTTTTTTTTCTTTTCTTTTTTTCTTTTCTTTTTTTCTTTTCTTTTTTTCTTTTTCTCGATTATATACTATTTTTATAATATATTTCTTTAAAAAGCTTATAGTTAATTATATATTTATAGAATTATTTACTTATTTCAAGTAACTTTCTTTAGGGTAAGATTAAATTAGGCAGGGCCCTAATAGTTATATGAGAATAAAAGACTATTTTTAAGGAAAAACTAGTTTATAGATTACTAATATAGTCTTATAGACTTTCTTTTATATATAGTAAGTTTAAAGCTTATCTAGATTAATTTAAGGCTATAAAAAATACTATATACTAGTACTTTGAGTTTATATAATAGATTTATTCAAGCTATATTATTATATAGGTATAGTATAAGAAATAAATAGATTAGATTAGATTAATAGCTATTAATCTAATCTATTCATGAAATTTTCTCATTAATTATATTCTATTCACGAACTAATTAAGCTAATCATGAATATTCATAAATAACTTAATTAATATATACGTGACCGCAGCACGTAACAAGCTAGCCTAATTAGGTAAGGATCAGGCTCTAGTCCTACCTTGCTTCTAGAGAGAAAAGCTTACTAAGGCAGTACTAGAGCAAGAACCTTACTTAATTAGGCTAGACTATTACGTGCTGTAGTTACGTATATATTAATCAAGGTATTCATAAATAATTATAATTAATTATTCTAATCTAATTAAATTATATAAGTATTATATTAATCAAATTCTATTTACGCTATTCATGAATATTCATGAATTAATTAATTAATCTGATTAATTTTTTCGCATACTATATAGGCAGATTCCTGCTATAGTTCTTTATACTAACTATTTATTTATACTAACTACTTTATAGTATTAGTTCTATAATACTAATATCTTATTTGCGCCCGTAATTTTATAGTACTAATAGTCTCTTGGTACTAATTGTTTCTTTGTACTAATTACGCATTTGTGTAAGGGTCTAAGTGAAGTTATATATTGGTTCTATATATAGGACGTAATGCAAGGAAGTAAAAAGAAAAATAAACGCGAGAAGTCGTCTTGTTGACTGATTACGCGAGGTGGTCTGTGACACGTGGTCACGTGGTGCCGTGATAATTTGTACTAACCAATCCCTAGTACAAATGTTTCTGTGGTACAGTTTTTGGAAATACTATTAATGAAGCTCTAGCCTCCTAAAATGAATTTGGGGGGGAAAATGGGCCTAAATCGAATATCACTATATGTCCTCTGGATCCCCTCTTGTTCCGTTCTAATACTTTCAGAGTCTGGACGCGTTCTCGGCTCGACCAACACGTCAAGGTTGCCCCTTCCATTATCGTCCCTCTCTCGTCCACTCTGCTTCCAATTCAAATGCTGGCTGACTGGATTGCGGCTGACTTCAAGGTCTTTGCAGACGTTAAAATTGCAGTGCTCCTCAACTGATGTTCGACAGCGTCTGCTTGCTTCGGTTTTTGAAGTCGAGACATGCCAACCCTGCAAGCGCTGGACAGTCATTGTTGCTAATAATCCATTGATTGGATTCGAACGGCTAACCGAATCGAATGCCCTGCACATTCTCAGCCGTGCTCAACCTTGTAGGGCGTAGCTTGCCGCTTGCCGCTAACCAACCCCGCCAGAAATCGTATCACAGAACGACCACGTGGACGCCGGGGAACGAGAGAGTTCCATCCGGATTGGAAGCCCTACATTCATTCTCAAATAGTCGTGTGAATAGTCGTGTGTGATGCAGCACCTAAACGTGCACCATCGGGCCATTTCTTAATTTCCAATGAAGGGTCGGAGACTACATCTTACGCTAACGAAAAGCGATACCTTGCGCCACCAAATTCGCGGAAACGGCGGAGGAACGGACGGACATGCCGAAATCATCCCACCGGGCTTGGGGCTGAGATTTTCAAAAGCAAAAGTATACTCGTTTAGCATACAGTACCAACCAAAGCTGCACAGATGTGTGGTGGCGCATGCGGATAATCATTGGCTAACGGCGGTTTCGCCTCTGATTGGCAATTTTGTAGGTTGGCGTTCGCTGCCCGAGACATAAAGAACAGAAGCAGTAGTTCAAATGCATGTAGTGGTTGCTGATTCGATAGAAGTGGTGTTTTGAGTGTGGTAGTGCTCCAACACGGGTTCAAGAACCACCTGCAGGCGGAAGTTGGGCTGCAGTATCATTGACCTTGTGAGGCCGAAACCCGGCTGGTCGTTGAGTACATATGGGAGCAAAGGCTCTGAGTTCCGTTTTATAGAGGTACTGCCAGCTAAAAAGTCTCGAACGGTACATTATCTACCAAGCAACTCAACTGATCTATTTCTCCATCTTTGTAACACAGGGACTGTTACTTTAGTTCGCGGAAGAAACAAACATCCCTCTAGGATATCGTTCAGAAAACATGTCTCATGAAAAGGACGGAATGTGGGTTATGCTTCGGTCTCAAATCTAAGTTTAATATATGTACAGTACTTACGTTCGTGTTGGGGTTCTAGAGATGCACATGAAACACCTGAATCCGACTCGGTTCCATCTCAACCCAAGCTTCGTTTCTACTTCCAGCCACTCTGCGGTATTTTTATCCCACTTGCCTTTGCAGCGTATTACCTCTGGACATACTTTGTCTGGCTCCAGCCGTCAAGCAATCCTTTGGCCGACATCAATAAGCCCCCCCCCAACGGCAAGTATGTCTGGTGGTCATGGTTTATTATCGGCGCAATTGGGTTAAACATCTCGGACTATACTCTCGGAGGCGTTGAGGCTGCTATGATGACGACCGGTATATTCAAACCAACAACTGAGGAAGAGCTCAGAATGCACAGGGACCTGCGCTGGAGCAGCCTGAGAGACTGGGGAACCGTGGCCTACCGTATTGTCTTCAAGAAAGGAAACAACGTACCGCGCAACTGGCTGTGGAGAATACTATTTGGCTTGAGTGTCTTATCTTGGTCATTTGCGCTGTCTGGTTTGACCATGCAGACTCAGGATGGATACAAGGCCGGGAACGTACCAGGAACCAACGTCACGGGCGTAAATCAAGGATCCATGGGCCTTAGAGCCAGCGCTGACATTATTAATGCAGCCTCCTATCTATGGACGCTTGATTCAGCACCTCAAATTCCTTCCGGGAGCGCGCTTTACGTACCTCTAAATAGCAGCATCATGGCAAACGTGTCGAAGCCGAACACGCTCCCCTCGAATGCCATGGAGATTTTCCTAACCGCCCAAGCTCCTGTACCCATAACTGGCAGTATATGGGGAGCAGTTCTGAAGTATAACTGCTCCGAGGTTCACAGGTTGGACGAGTTTACTATCCTGAACCGGCGAATCAACTCCTCAAATCCAGCCTATGTCCAACCTGCTATATATAACGCCACTGACATCGCGTACTTCTATACTCTCGACGATGGTTCATCAATATCAGTGATGAGCCAGCTGAATGGTGGTCTCATAAACGTCGCCGCCTTCGTTGAAGTAGGCATGAGCACTGGCGTGAGCGACATATTGGACCGAACACCGTCACTGGGTTACACTAGCGCAAACTTAGGACTAGATCAGGAGGAAGTCTTGGAGCTGGCCCTCTGGCAAACTTTCTGGAATCCACCAGGCACATTTGGCAATTTCACAAATGTGCAAGACCCGATTCCGGAGCTGGAGGACGAGCACTATGAGCCACAGAATCCCTTCGGGGCCGGTTACCCGTGGAATGGAAATATGTCAGCCATTGGCATTCGGTGCACTTCCTCGTCAGTGACTGGAACAGCAACAGTGAACGGTTTAGTAGGAACTTACACCGATTTTGAGCGCGAAGATCCCAACATGGACCACTTCCTCACCCCTAGACTCAGCCTCGGCGTCCCGTTAATGTTCATCCCACTCGAACAAGCTGCTAATGACTTTGTGGACTTTGGGTATCACGGAGGATTGAAGTCTCTTGGCAACAATTCAGTCAACTACACTGTACTGAAGACTAAGTATGACTGGATCAATCCACTCTTCATGGCCGCCAACCCAGCTATCGATCTCGACGAAACATCCCCCGGTTTCGCCTACTATAGTTCCCTTATCCAGACGTCCGATCTTCGAGATGCCTTTATTACCGCTTATCAACAATATGCAATCCAGCTTATGTTCTATGGCACCAATGGCGGCGCGGCTTGGGAAAATGATAACGTCACCACTGCCGCCCCGTGGACTATTCTCCAGGCTGGCGGCGGTGTACCACCCCTCTTGGTCGTCATTACCATGCTGATCTGGGCCGTTGGTTGTGCTGGTCTGTCCCTCGCATATGGCTTTGAGAAGCGCTGGGCAGAGACATTTGATGACCACTATCTCTATTGCCTCTGCGATGAGAAGCGCCTGGATATTTCAAAAATCTTCAAGAGTGACTAATTTATATTACAGATATTATAGCCCCCAGGCTTTCCTGAGACTGGCTCAAGAAACACTGCACGTGACGGGCCCCCTGTATATATACGGACTCGTCGTCCATGCCCCTCTCTTCTTCTTCTTCTTCTTCTTCTTCTCTCCTTAGCTTTAGATTCTTCGTATACAGGCAATATCTAGGAGATCCGGACATTACGTCACATCTGACTTATCCGTACCTATATCTCTTACGTACCGTTGCACTTGTACTAGCAAGTGGTTTGTACTAGTAGTTTAATAGTACTATTAGCTTCTTGGTACTAACTATGCATTAGTACTAGTAGTCTTTTAGTACTAGTATATCAAAAAATAATCAAGGCTAATTAATTAGAATTAATTATAATTAAGTATAATTTAATTAGCTTAATTTTTATTATAATTAATTATAATTAAATATAATTGTTATATAATAATATAAAGTATACTTTTTTAGGCATTTTTAAAGATTATTAAATAACTAATAGTTATTAATAAAATATAAATAAAATCTATAAAATGTATATAAGAGTATAAAATTAGTCTAAATATAAAATAATAAACTAGTTTTTATTATATAGTACTATTATATTATAGATAGATAATAAAGGTTATATTACTATAATATAATATAAGTAATATTTTTAGTATTTTTTTTATATAGTAATTAATTATCTTTTATATTTTATTTTATTTATTCTTTTTATATAATAAGTAGTAGTAATTATTAGATTTATATATATTATAATATAACCTGGAAATCTTTTTATTTTAGTAGTATTTCCGTTTATAATTTAATAACCCTAAAAGATATAAGTTATATTTAATAACGAGTTTGACTTTTCTATAGAACTTTATTAATCTTATTTATTAATTTAATTAGTTTCGAATAACCGGCTATTAATTTATAGAAAGAATATAGATTATTAATAATATTATTAATTACCTAATTCTATAATATCTTACTATAATCTCGAATATAATATAAGATAATTACTATAGCTAATTAGTCTTAATTAATGAATTTATATTTATATAATAGCCTTTTTATCTAATTCTATTAAGTATATAGGCTATTAATAAATTCGTATTTAATATTACTATTAAGAAATTCGTTTTTTTATAAATAAATACTTCTTATTATAAAATAAAGATATAGCTAAAACCGGAAGAAGTATTAAAAATAATAATTACTATATTAAAACTAGTATAGAGCCTTAATTAAATAGCTACTAATTTTCTAAACCGAATAATAATAGAATTAAAAAGATTTCTAGAATAAATAATAATAATAGTAATATAGCTAATATAGCTCTAGTATAAAAATATTTTCTTTCTTTTAAAATAGCTATTAAAATAGCTATACTTATTATATAAATATTAGATAAATATAATAAATACTAGAGATACTAATTACTTAGTAATAATAGAGCTAGGGCAAATAATAGAAGTAATAGAAAAAGTAATAGTTTTAATAATAGAAACTAAAGCTTTAATAATAAATATAATATAGTTAATATAAATAGAGTTTCTTTAAAGTAAAATCTAGAAAATATTAGCTTTTTCGAATTCAATAATTCTATAAATATAGAAGATTACAAATATTAAGAAAAGATAATAATTTAGAGAAATATATATCTTTTTATTAATATCTTTTAATTTAATATATAAAAAGAATATAAAAGTATTATATATATAAACTTATATATTTACCTATATAAAATAGTTTAGAAATAGTATATAGAGGAAATTAAAGAAACTATAAAGCTTATATTTCGATTTATACTAAAAGAAGTTAATCTATAAGTAAAATACTTAATAGACTATTTTAAAGACTCTATATTTAAAATAATAAAGAAACTTTAAAACAAGAAATATATAATAGAAGATATAAAAAATAGATATAATATTTATAAATATATAATAATAGTTATAAGATATATAAAAGTAATAGAAATAAATAAATTATATTAATAGCTTTTTTATATATATAATAACCTTAATCCCGAGCTTTAATTTTATATTTCTATTTTAGATAAGAAAACTTTACTATTAGAATAGCTAAAAAACTTGACTAATAAATAAAAAACTTAGTAAAATATAATTATAATAAGATATTTCTATAATATTCTGGCTTAACTAGCTTTATATTTTAATACTAGAAGTACTAGCTCTAGATATTTATATAATAGTAATTATTAGAATACTATTTCCGGATTCTGCTTTTATTAATTCCAGTAATAGTAATAATTATACTAGTTTTAGTAAAGAAATAATATTAATTATAAATAAAATACAAAATTCCTTTTATTATTAAAACCCAAATATCTTTTTATAATAATATATAAAAAAGAGAAAGAGAATAAAACTCGCTTTAATAAAGAATATTTCAAATAAGAATATAATAAATAATAGTTTTACTAATATTACTAAAATAAAAGAACTAATCTAGTATTTAATTATATTAATATACTAGAGAATTATAGAAATAAATATAAAAATAAATTAGAAGATAATAAATATATTATTATAAAAGAGTTTATTTTTCTAGATTTTCTAGTAAATAATATATAATTTCTATAAAACGAATTCTATTTAGCTATTTCTAATAATATTAAATCCTGTATTTATATAAAATATAATAATATTTTCTTATTCTATTTCTAGATATTTAAATATATTTATATTAATACTTGTAATAAAATAGAAACCGGAATTATAATAATTCTTAAAGCTATAAAGCCTATTATAATAAAGGTTATTAAAGTAATTTCTTATAAAATCAAATATAAAATAAACGAGATTTCTTATATATATATAAAAATATATATATAGTTTGAATTAGAAAAACTAATGAAATTAATATATATTAATATAGGATATATATATTTTATTATAGGCCAGAATTAGCTAAATAGTTATAAAAAAGTTTTATATAATATTTTCTAATTTATATTCTTTAAAGAAATCCTAAATAAAGTTATATTTATAAAATAAGTAATCTTTTCTATATATATATATTTAATATAGTAAATAGCTAGAAATATATAGATAAGATCTTTATTATAATATAAATTATAGACTAATTGGAACCAGGCCTGCTTTTTAGTAATAAATATCTTTAATTATTAATTACTAGAACTTTATAGTTATAATAAATATTATAGTTCTTTATTATATTTTTAAAATAATATATTATATTCTTATAACTAGAAAAATTATTATTTCCCTGAAATTAAAAATAATAATTCTAGTCTAATATATACTAGTTTCTAAAAACGGAATATATTTCTTTTAAAGAAGCTATATTAATATAGAGAATATAATTCTGAATTATATTAACTTTATTAGTATTATTAATAATATAGATATTATAATAATAATCTTAATAAATATAAATCTAAACTAATTAATAAATATTAAAAACTAAGCCTTTTTTAAAATCCCGAGTAATTAAGAAGAAATAAAGCTAATAATTTTATAAGAAACTAATCCGAATTTAGAAAAGCCTTAATATAATAAATAATATAAGTTTAATATTAATAAATTATAAGATATATTAGAAATTATATATAAGAATAATATATATATATATATTTATAATAGAAATATATAAATAGTATATATTATTATAAGTATAATATTTAGGGCTTAAAAAGTAAAATAGAAAGTTTCTTATAAAGATAATTTAAAGCTAAGGAAAAGAAAACTAAAATATAGGAAGCTATAAGGAAATATATATATCTTATAGTATACTAGTCCCGAAGAGGCTTAGTTTTCTAAATATCTCTAGTATATTTCAAGTATACTTCCTTAGTAAAGCAGTTATATTATATATATCTAGGAAATATCTAATATTTAGTAAGGTATCTCAGATACTAGATATCTGGGAATTATAATATTATTACTAAATTCCGGAAATATTAGATTAATAGAAGCCTAATTAATATACTAAAAGAGAACTATATAAGAATCTCTTTTATTAAAGGCTAATAGAATAAAAAGATTATATTAAAAAAGTTCTCTTTAAGTTATAAATATAAAAAGATTATTAATAATATTTTTAATAAGTTATATTAATAAGATTAAATAAAATAGATTTATAAACTAATTCTTTTTATTTTATTAGTATTTATAGTTATAAAGAAATATTTTATTATTAATTTCTATATTATAAATAAATTAGCTATTTCGAATATATATTTACTATTATTATAATTAGATTTAATTAAAGTATTATAAGAAAAGAAGGCTATTTCTATTATTAATAGCTTTTAATTCTATTACTAATTTCTTATTATAAAAAAGTATTAAAATTACTTTATAATTATTAGCTATTATAGCCTGAAATATTTAAAGATTATATTATAGGTTTATGAAACTTTCTTTAATATATTTAATAATTTATAAATAAATAGCTATATAATTATACTAGCTTTATTAGGAATTTTATTAATAATATTATTATTTTTTCGAATATAATAAAATAGTATTTCTAATACTTTTATATTATTCTCGAGCTATTTACTAAATTATAATTATTTCTATTAATAAAAAAGTTCTTTATAAAATATTTATTTATAAAATTATTAGGCTATCTAGTAAATATATTTGAAATAGTAATAATATAGGAACGAGTTTTAATATTTAAAGAATTTATTTTTCCTATTATATTACAAGCCCTAGAATAGTATATTAAAATAATTAAATAATTATAAATATATTTTCCAAGCTATATTTATATAGTTAAACTAATATAAGAATAAAAGACTTAATTACTAGAAGCTAAATAGAAAATTAATATTATAAAAGAAAAATAAAAAGGCTATTATATTAGAATAAAATATAAGTCTATAATTTAGGAGCTTATAGTATTTAAAAAGCTATAAAACATATTTATAGTTTCTAGATTTCTGGTTTATTTTTTATTTAATAAAGTTCTTTTATTTAATTCAAATATATTATAGAAATAAGAGTTTTTTATTATAGTTTTTTATTTAATATTCGGATTAGTATTAATAGATATTATTAAGAAGCTATTAGTATTATATATTTAGCT